GTTACGGGGGCTTCTCGTTACTCCCGTGTGACACCTCTCCTGCGCGAGCTGCACTGGCTACCGGTGGTCCTTCGGGTCCGTTTCAAGGTGCTGGTGCTCACCTATAAAGCCCTACATGGCTTAGGCCCGGGGTATTTGCAGGATCATCTCCTGCCATCCTCTCATCATCCTGTGCGCTCCCACAGAGCGGGCCTCCTCAGGGTGCCATCAGCCAGACAATGTTGGCTAGCGGCCCCCAGGGGGAGAGCGTTCTCTGTGGGAGCGCCGATTCTCTGGAATGGGTTGCCCACCGGGCTTAGGACAGCCCCTGACCTCCTCTCCTTCCGCCGCGAACTGAAGATGTGGCTCTTTCATCAAATGGGCTGATCCGTTGGGGGATTTTTACCTTGAAATAATTTTAATTAATTTTAATTGGATTTTAATTTTTATGTAATTTTCGAATTTGTTGAATGTTTTCTTTGTAAGCCGCCCGGAGTCCTTCGGGAGAAGAGCGGCATATAAATTACATAAATAAATAAATATTTATTTATACATTACCATATATTTTTTTATATATACATATACTGTATATATACATATACATATACTCATACATATACATATACTCATACACACATACATATATACACATATATATACTTGCTCCTAGAAGCACGAAGCTGAAAACACCAGCCTGAAGATGACGAATGAGACTTCGTAGAAACGTCGCCAAGACATTTCCAATTTTACACGGGAGAAAACCCAAATAACCAAAGACCTACATACAAACACCCGCGAAAACCTCAGAAAACACATACATATACATACATACATACATACATACATACATACATACATATGTAAAGAAGAAGCAGACATCCTGCGAGCTCCGGAACTTAAAATTTTAAATAATTAAAATTTTATTTTACTACGCTTTCGTCAGCCATCTGCTGACACTGTCAGAGTATTAAACTACCATTACAGAGATCTCTGCCTTTAAATGCCATTAATCAATTTGGCTATTGCACGTGTAATAGGCCCTTCCAGCCGTCTCTCACTTGTAATTAGCTGAATTGTTTTTGCTGTTGTCATGCTGGATGATGGAGGCTTAATTTCTATTGTTTCCTCCCTCCTAGCTTGCTTATCAGTGGGGGATGATTTTAGCCTGTCAACTATTGCAATTTGCTGCCTTGTCCGTGACCTTGTGGTCGGCCAGGTTCATTTCTCATTAATCCTATCTGTTACAGTTTGAGACAGCCCAGCCGGGTTGCTCTGTGTTTGCTCAGGACTAACTATGCCTTCACAAGCTGAGTCTGCATGCTCAGAGGTGGGGGGTGGGTGCCTTTGGTCCCTGCTCACTGATGGAAAGCCGTCTCTGCTCATCCTGTAGGGTCTTTCCTGGTGTCTCAAAGCCTGGTAGGCTGGTGACAGTTCGATATGCCTGTTGATGGAATTGTTATTGGAGAACCAGGCTTCTTTTAGTAGGTGTCCTCCTTTAGTCCTATCATGGGCAATAACCTCAGCTTCTTGAAAATCAAATTACTAATATACCTGGAACTCGTATTTTTAGAATAGTTTGTAATACATATACATAATACATACATACATACATACATACATACATACATACATACACTTCTTGGTTTACGTAGGTAGAACTTGGCTAAAGAGACATACACATAAAACCTACGAAAAAGAAAGAAAAACAAATATTGTACCTTTACAGGGAGGATACATGAGATGAGGGTGTGTCTAACTGATGAGGCCTTATAAGGCCGAAATAGATCTATCTTAGTCTCCCAATGGGCAGCAAAGGGTCTGCTGGCTGCCAGAAGAAAAGGAGGAAAAAAAGCCCAGAAACTAGTGAATTGTGAGTTCACTGAACTAGGGCTGCATAACATCTTGGTTTACGTAGGTAGAACCTGGCTAAAGATCTATCTATCTATCTATCTATCTATCTATCTATCTATCTATCTATCTATCTATCTATCTATCTCTATATCTCTATATCTCTATATCTCTATCTCTATCTCTGTCTATCTATCTATATATGATTATAGTGACGATGATGATGTTTGTATGTTAACACCATGGACACCTAGAGAACACACTGCTCAACATAGAAATGGAATGTATGATATGAAACAATAAAAAGTATTTCAAAAAAAGGAAGGAAAAAATGACCAAGTCAATCACTGCAGTTGTGAAGTAAGCGACATGGTTGTTAAGGGAATCTGGCTTCCTCATTGCTGGTCAGAAGGTCACAAAAGGTGATCACGTGACACCCGGACACTGTAACCGTCATAAATATGAGTCAGTTGCTGAGTTTTGGTCATGTGGCCATGGGAATGCTACAACAACCGTAAGTTGAAAAACGGCCATAAGTCTCTTTTTTTAAGTGCCATTGTAACTTCGAACTGTCACCAAATGAACTGTTGTAAGTCGAGGACTACTGTCATGCCTCCGTCAGAGCCTGAATCGGCGGAGGAAGACGAGCCAGAACTGGAGCAAACAGAGATTGAGGGGGCAGCTTTGTTGGCTTCGGAGGAAAATGAGGAGTTATGGCAGGATTGGGACAGTTTATAGCAGGGGTGAAATGCTCCCGGTTTGGACCGGATCGCCCGATCCGGTAGCGATGGAGGTGGGTGGTTCGGAGAACCGGTAGCAAAAATCCCTGCCCTCCTCCCCATTGCCCAGCTGAGCTGTGCAATCATCAGAGCCTTTTTTTTTTAATTTTTAAAAGCATTTTTTCTACAACCTCTTTGGCCGAAAAAATGCTTTTAAAAGTAAAAAAAAATGCCTCTGATGATCGCTCGGCTCAGCTGGGATCATCAGAGGCTTTTAAAAGCATTTTTTCTACAACCTCTTCGGACAAAGAGGTTATAGAAAAAAATGCTTTTAAAAGGAAAAAAAGCCTCTGCCGATCAGGCAAGTCAGCTTCATCATCAGAGGCTTTAAAAGCATTATTTTTACAACCTCTTCAGCCGAAGAGGTTGTAGAAAAAATGGTTTTAAAAGTAAAAAAAAAAAGTTGCCCACGCCCACTCAGTGATATTACACCCACCACCAAGCCACGCCCACAGAACCGGTAGTAACAAATTTTACATTTCACCACTGGCTTGTAGGAAGGGAGGAAGGTGGGCAGGATGACCAAGAGAGGCTAAGCAGTGAACATGAGAGACAGAGTTCAGGCGATGAGCAAGGACCACCCCCTCCTGATCCTCAAGCACGGAGAGTGGAGAGAAGGCGAGAACAGTGCAGGCTGACCTGACTACTCGGGAGGAGAGCGCCTCGTCCCTCTTTCCAAGGCATACCTGGGGTCTGAGACTTAAGGAGACACTGTGGGGAGGGGCATTTGTTGGGAACAAACGCTGAATTCCTGGAGTGTTGAGTGCCGTTGCCGACGTTTGAAGTTTCCTGAATTTCCTGCTTTCTTCCTGGCTTCCTGGATTAATTGCCTTGCTCCTTTGCTTCCTGGACTCATTGACTTGCCCTGCTGGATTTCTTGCTTTGCAGAGGTTGTGCTCACAGCATTGGGCTGGACTACTTTTGCAGCCAGAGGCTGCTGGAGGTGTGTGTGTGTGTGTGTGTGTCATCACTTTGCTCTGGGACTTGCCAGAAACGTGGGAGCGTTTGAGGAAATTTGGAGCAATAAAGGGACGGTTTGAACTGCCAGCTGCCTGTTTTGCCTCTGTGCCATGCCCCAGGTCATCACAACTACCTGGTACAACCCCAAAGTTGAATCAATGCAACATAACCACCAATGCAATCACATGCACGTTAATAATATGGCATTATTTGTTTCTAGAAGGCGGTGGACTTTCCTGTAGCCTATTTTATAAATGTTTTTGTTGTGTTGGAGAGTGAACAAAGGGCACTAACGCTAGGAGATTATACTAAAGTTGCAGATTTTGAGATTGTACAAAGAGATGCAACCCCCCCGCCAAATTATCAAATGTGGAAGGAGCCATTGCTAAATTGAGGGAGGGCTTGTTCAGGGGTGGGTTCTAAATTTTTTTACTACTTGTTATGTGGGCGTGGCTTATTTTGTGGGCGTGGCTTGGTAGGGGTAATGTGACTGGGTGGGCGTGGCCAACTTTTTTTTTTTAACTTTTCAAAGCATTTTTTCTACAACCTTAAGAGGTTGCAGAAAAAAATGCTTTTAACAGCCTCTGACGATCCCAGCTGAGCCGCGCAATCGTCAGAGGCTTTTTTTTTTACTTTTAAAAGCATTTTTTCGGCTGAAGAGATTGTAGAAAAAATGTTTTTAAAAGTTTTTTAAAAAAGCCTCTGATGAGGTGGGCGGGGTAAGCGAGTGGCAACCAGGCCAGGGACCGGTTCGGAGGCGTGGCCAGCCAATGTTATTACCGGTTCTCCGAACTACTACAAATTTTTACTACCGGTTCTTGCGAACCAGTGCAAACCGGGAGCAACCCAACACTGGGCTTGTTACTGACTTCTTAACAGATATTCTTTCCTCCGAAATTAAATTAAAAATTAGGATTTGGCCAGACCTCAGGCATTTAGTAGGGATGCGATGGCTCAGTGGCTAAGATGCTGAGCTTGTTGATTGAAAGGTCGGCAGTTCAGGGGTTCGAATCCTTAGTACCGCGTAACGGGGTGAGCTCCCGTTCCTTGTCCCAGCTTCTGCCAACCTAGCAGTTCGAAAGCACGTTAAAAAATGCAAGTAGAAAAATAGGGACCACCTTTGGTGGGAAGGTAACAGCATTCCGTGCACCTTTGGTGTTTAGTCATGCCGGCCACAAGACCACAGAGACGTCTTCAGACAACGCTGGCTCTTCGGCTTTGACATGGAGATGAGCACCGCCCCCTAGAGTCGGGAACGACTTGCACATATGTGCGAGGGGAACCTTTACCTTTACCGCTATTTAATATTTGGAGGGCAACCAGCCAGAGATCAGGCAATGATTAAGTGTTCTGGCATAAGTTCCCTACCTAGTAACTTAACCCCACAGAAAAACCACAATGAAGAAAGACAAGAATTTTTTTTAAAAAACTTACGTAGGGGATGGTGTCCAACGTATCTGTATTGACAATAATAGGAGCAGGGCTGGCCTGGGAAAGAGAGAGAGAGAGAGAATAACAAGTTTACAGAACTGATAAACTATCTACATCAAAAGCTGTTTAATGCCTCCATCACACAACGGTTGATAACATGATTTGAATGTCACCGAGGAGAAAAAAAGCATCCCGTAGCAAATCAATAATGCACACTCTTTATACAGAGCAACAGAAAAAAAAAAATCAAATTTGCATTTTGGTGGTGAGCTATACAGCTTACATGTTCTAAAAACCTGAGAGTAATGCACAACATCATTAAATCATTATATCTGAATGTTTTTTTTTTCTTTTGATCTTTTCTTTTTGTTTTGGGCGAAAGGGTAATTTGGAGGTTGGCTAGTGGCATAAGAAGTTGAAATCAAATTCCATAATAGACCGAAGGCCACAGAGTTTAATTTTGGAGAAGTTTTATATGTTACTAGCTAATAACCCGGCCTTGCCCGAGTATTTATTTATCCCAAACCTGTAGTAGACAGGAAGAGCAACTTCACCCTGAGCCCTGATTTTGGCGACAATTAAATTAGTTAAAAATGTTTTCCCTGTGCCCCCAGAAGCGTCAAGTAAAATGATACTACCTTGTTGTTTTGCTAGCTGATCCATGATCATTTGGTATGCTTTTTTCTGATCTTGGTTTTATTGATCATGGCCATACATTTGTCCTCAAGAATAATCAAAGCCTTGTTGAAAATGTCCGGACTAAACATAATTTCTAATGTTGGATTTTCCCCCTTACCAGAGGGAGCCCCCTTGTGGAGTACTGTGAAGCCATTATCATGGCAACTGCACTGTGCTGCACAGTAGAAGCCATTTTAAGGCAGTACAGTAGAAACCATTTTATGGCACAACAGGCTGTATCTTAACAGAACACATACCCCGAGGGGTGTTAGGTGTCAGCATTCCAGAAAAACCCCAACTCCAAGTAAAACCCTGAAGCAAACATCTTTCATATTAGGCTGGAAGCTTCCATGCTGCCATTAGGGGTGTCTTACCCCCACAGTATTTCTTTCCAGAGAGTAAGTCATCTGTGTACCAAGTTTGGTTGATATTGCTCGAGGCGTTCCAGAGTTATGCTGGAACACAGGCACACAAAGCAATTTTTATATATTTATATGTTATGTTATGTTATTTCAGCCTAAGTAGTGGACACCAGAGCAACGGTACAATACATCATGCAAAATATGAATAAATACAGTACATTAGAAGCAACCATTTTACACGTTCAACATCAATTTTCGCCAACGTCAATCTCTGAAGATATTCTGAAATAGTTGAGGTTTTATGAGTCCGCCTTAGGCATGAAAGCCAGCTGGGTGATTTTGGGACAATCACCAGGAGACAGTGAGTTCTAGTCCCACCTTAAGCATGAAAGCCAGCTGGGTGACTTTGGGCCAGGCCCTCTCTCTCAGGCCAACATACCTCACAGGGTTGATGCTGTGGGCAAAATAGGAGAAGGAAGGAGTATTATGTGTCTTCTCCATCTTGAGTTATTGATAAAAATAATAACGTGGGGATATAAATAAATAAATAAATACATTTCTCAAATGGGCTTCCCAAATCTTCACTTGGAAAGTGCCCGAATCAACACAGAATCCTTGCAGGTTCATCCACCATATGCTTCTCATTCTGCTTCTTTAGCATTTTAATTCCCTGACCTCCTTTCTCTTCTCCTTCTTTTCTATCCAAAACGCTCTGCAGTTTATTAGTTCATTTCCACACACAGCCCCTTACATTTTTCCAAGCGTCCTACACACCATTTAGATAACCCGACTAAACATGAGTTTCCTTCTGGCGAATCTTGTTCTCCCTTGGGTTTAATCGGGTTGCTTAGTACCCCGCTGCTAAGACAAATGACAGCTGCCATGACAGATTGCCACCAGATCAATTGGGACAAGCAAACACATCGTCCCCCTTTTAAAAAAAATGGGAGATTAGTTGCTCCTGAGTTGTTTGAGGGAAGAAAAAGCTTATAACAACAACAACAAAAACAACAAACACCCCCTCTTTTGTCCCGAAGGCAGGGATGAAATCCAGCAGGTTCTGACAGGTTTTGGAGAACTGGTAGCGGAAATTTTGAGTAGTTCAGAGAACCGGCAAATACCACCTCTGGCTGGCCCCAGAGTGGGGAGAGAATGGAGATTTTGCAGTATCCTTCCCCCAGGAGTGGGGAGGGAATGGGGATTTTGCAGTATCCTTCCCCTGAAGTGGGGTGGGAATGGAGATTTTGCAGTATCCTTCCCCCAGGAGTAGGGAGGGAATGGGGATTTTGCAGTATCCTTCCCCTGCCACGCCCACCAAGCCAGGCCCACCATGCCCACCAAGCCCGAAGGTGCTTTTTCTGGAGGCAACTGGACTTCCTTGTTTTTTCTTATTGAAGATGTTTCGCTTCTCATTCAAGAAGCTTCTTCAGCTCTGACGGGATGGTGGGGAATGGAAGGAGAAAAAGAAAAAACAAGAAAGTCCAGATAAACCTCCAAGTGCTTCAAGGACCCTCTAAAAGGATGCAAATGACCAGCTGTCTGCAAGGAATATAAATCCTTCCATTCCCCACCATCCCGTCAGAGCTGACGGATGACAAGCGAAATGTCTTCAATTGGAAAAAACAAGAAAGTCCAGTTGCCTCCAGAAAAAGCACTTTGGGACAACCATGAGCAGGATGACCGAGCATCTGAAATCTGATCACATGACCACAGAGATGCTGCAATGGTCGTAAGTGTGGAAAAACGGTGATAAGTCGCTTTTTTTCAGGGCTGTTATAACTTTGAATGATCACTAAATGAACGGTCCTAAATTGAGGATTACCTGTAGTTTGATTTGTACTTCAATTTCTCCAATAAAGAAACTATCATTCATTCCCCCAAAGGTGCTTTTTACAAGAGGCCACTGGACTTTCTGGTTTTTCTTTGAAGACTTTTCGCTTCTCATCCAAGAAGCTTCTTCAGCTCTGACGGGATGGTGGGGAAGATTGTCGGTTCAGTCAGAGCTGAAGAAGCTTCTTGGATGAGAAGCGAAACGTCTTCAAAAGAAAAAGGAAAAAAACCCAAGAAAGTCCAATTGTTTCCAGAAAAAGCACCTTTGGGACAACCATGACCTGAATGATTGAGAATCTCTACAGATTCTCCCCTCTTTTCTTTTTCTCCAGATCACACCCTTGCACAAATGTATAGCAAATCGGTAGCGATGGAGGCGGGTGGTTCGGAGAACCGGTAGCAAAAATCCCTGCCCCCCCCATGCCTAGCTGAGCCGCACGATCATCAGAGGCTTTTTTTCTTTTAAAAGCCTCTGACGATCCAAGCTGAGTTGCCCGATCGTCAGAGGCATTTTAAAGAAAAAAAACCTCTACTGATCAGGCAACTCAGCTGGGATCGTCAGAGCTTTTTGAAAGCATTTTTTTACAACCTCTTCGCCGAAGAGGTTGTAGAAAAAATGGTTTTAAAAGTTAAAAAAAAAAAAATGGCCACGCCAACCCAGTCACATTACCCCCCCACCAAGCCACGCCCACAGAACCGGTAGTAACAAATTTTAGATTTCACCACTGATTCAAACCTTTATTGTCAATGCACAACGTGTATGCAATGAAATTGAATGAGCCTTCCTTGGTGCAGCCCACCCAATAACACAGAACACATACATCTCAATAAATCAATAAATCAACAAATAAAATAAAATAAATAAAAAAGAATCCCTTTCGTTAATGCAACGTAAACCTTACAATCTAGTGGCAGAGAACATTGTAAGGAGACAGAGAGAGAGAGAATTCTGTTTCATCTGCGTTGTTAAGCAAATTAATTAAATTCACTTTCTGCACCAATAGATAGAACTCTATCTAATCATCCATCGGATTCATCCCTTGCAGCCATTCTCAGTTTTGCAATGCTATTATATATGAACAATACACATATATACTGTACTAGAATGGGCATGCACAAAAACAAATGTTTCTTATTTGCTTCTCTAATTATTCTCTAAACATTATCCTGAAATTAAGGGAGTGGGGGGAAATGGATGCAGAGTGGCCAAAACATGGAAAATGAACAAAAATAGGTCAAGTGGTTTCTTTCTCACATGGTGTTTTAGTGTCCATGTGACTGCAAACAGAAACAATAATGGAAGATAAGTAAGGCCACACCTGGAATACTACATCCAGTTTTGGTCACCACGGTTTAAAAAATATGTTGAGACTCTAGAAAGAGTGCAGAGAAGAGCAAGAAAGATGATTAGGGGACTGGAGGCTAAAACATACGATGAACGGTTGCAGGAACTAGTCTAGCGAAGAGAAGGACCAGGGGAGACAGGATAGCCATCTTCCAATATTTGAGGGGCTGCCACAGAGAGGACGGGGTCAAGCTATTTTCCAAAGCACCTGAAGGCCAGACAAGGAATAAAGGATGGAAACTGAACAAGGAGAGATTCAACCTGGAAATAAGGAGAATATTTCTGACAGTGAGAACAATCGACCAATGGAACAGAAGTTGCCTTCGGAAGTTGTGGGAGCTTCATCACTGGAAGCTTTCAAGAAGAGATTGGACTGCCATCTGTCAGAAATGGTGTAGGGTCTCCTGCTTGGATGGGGGGTTAGACTAGATGACCTACCAGGTACCTTCCAACTTCTGGAGGCAAGTTGTTCCACTGATTAATTGTTCTCACTGTCAGGAAATTTCTCCTTAGTTCTAGGTTGCTTCTCTCCTTGATTAGTTTCGATCCATTGCTTCTTGTCCTGCCCTCAGGTGCTTTGGAGAATAGGTCGACCCAGTGGTGAAATCCAAATTTTTTTTACTACCGGTTCTGTGGGCGTGGCTTGGTGCGTGTGGTGTGGCTTGATGGGCGTGGCTTGGTGGGTGTGGCACGGCAAGGATTCCTCAAATCTCCATTCCCACCCTACTCCTGGGGAAAGGATATTGTAAAATCTCCATTCCCACCCCATTCCTGCCGGAAGGATACTGGAAAATCTCCATTCCCACCCCACTCCTGGGGAAAGGATATTGCAAAATCTCCAT